CCCATGTCCGCCCAGCAGCACTCACCCACCTATACGATGGTCGCCGCTTCCAGTCACTCTCAACTCCACTTACACAGGAGATGATAGGTCGACCTGGTCAGCCGTCGAGTAGAGTGAAGCAGCAACGGCCACACCCTTGCAAGCAATAGAAAGAGCGAGCAGCAGCGAGCAACAATGACGAGGGTCTGCTGGGAAGGTGAAAATTGGAAGCCTTAGGGACGCTGTACCCGATCTCCAGCAGGAGCCAACCCCCACGGCGGCTGAAAAGGCAATAGCGAGACATGCAGTTCGGATCTTCACAGAACCTGAGAATACCCCCAGCCAGGCAGTTGTATAAGCATAATCCTCTCTCAATGACTCGAGTTCTATAGCAATGCATTGAATTGCATCGCTAATCATCTCCTGGCAGATCTCCTTGTAGATCTTCAGATCTTTAGGCTTCAAGGATGGAGGTGTTATGCACAGGATTGGAGAGGGTATAGGGTTCAACGGTTTTAAAAAGTCAGGCAACAAAACAATCATCAGGGGGGCTGCCGGACAGGGCTGGGCTAATAGATAAGGGGTTCTCCAAGATGGGATGGGTGTTACTGGCAGCTCCACGGACAATGGAGCCCCGGACCAGCAAGAAAAATGACCACATCCCCAGGAAACAACGACCAACAATTGCTATGCTACAGGCTGTATCAATGGGACGCTGGAGCCGGTTTCCAGCAGGTGCCACTCCCCACCAATAGATGGAGCAGCCCGACAGACAAGCCCTCAATTCTGGCGGTTCTCGAACCACCGCCGGGATAGAGGGCTGGCACAAGGGGTTAAAAACAAAAAAGACAATGGGAACCGAAAGCCAAACAACTGGAAGAGTCAAAAGGGGCTTAAACACAACACAAGAATAAACCAAAACAGTATAAAGCACTGCTCCCCTGGGAGCAGCTGACAAAGTTACAGGGGTGGGCTGCAGAACCTGGGATGGAGCCTAGTCAAATAACCTACAGAATGATATAGGACGGGAAGGAACAGCCGGTTGTTTTCAAGGAGTGGGCTGGGCCAGATGAAAGCAGGAGCTCGGTTATCGGGGATGGTAATAATCAAATGATGTATTTACTGCGACGCTGGACCCTACTCCACACAGCGAACAATCTAAAAACAAAAGTTTTGTTTTGTTTCTTTTTTTGAGGGGGGGGGGGGGGGAATAATAACAAAAGTAGTAACAACGGGAGTGTACACAACAGTAAAAAAAAAAAAAAAAAAAAGCTGGGCACCACAGCTGACAATGTAACATAACTACAAGTGGGCATACAACCCATGAATTGTCCAAATACAGACTCGACTTCGAATCCGAAGGAACTTGATGAGTAAAACCATCGCCCTTTGAAAAAAAAGGGCCATCGCCGTTTGAAAACAAACACAAAGTGCGAACGCAGTACAAAGAGAACGAGAGTGGTATGCGAATCGACGTGAGAGTTCATCTGCTTGTTGAAGGGGCTGGCAGCCATAGCCGTCGATAGCTGCCGATATCCGCAAAGGCAGTTGTACCCATAATTGTTTTGAGGGAAAACTACACAGGAGTCACAAAAACGAGTTATGATTGCACTACGGGCCAAGATACAGTTTCGAGCTGCATTTCAGGCAATGTATACAACCCAGCTTTCTGGCCAGGTAGTGTGCCCTAAGAGCAATTGGAAACTTATCTTTTCCCATATAGTGCAATTATAACTCGTTTTTGTGATCCTACTGAAGTTAGCCCATTGTTTGAGCTTGCAGAGTACAGGAAACAGCAGTTTCCCAAGTGGGATCGGGAAGTGATTGCAAGATAATCGAGTTCTATAGCTTGTGTCGTTGTTCACTGTCGCCGTGTGTTATGCAGATAAAGTGCGCCGCTCAGATTGACTTGTGCTGTCGTTGGATGCATGATTTGTCGGACTTGCTACACGTTGATCGCTTTTCATCCTTACAATGTTTCACATCGTTTTTCGGATTCTATCTTTCTCTGTTGATGCGTGTGCAAGCAGTCCATGGCCACTGTTTTTCACTTTTCTTTTTTTTTCTTTCCCACAAGAGAACGTCTTTGAGGTATCATCGTCGAACTGACCGCACACAGGTGAGTCTTTCTCGAATATCAACAGTTCATAGTACTTCACGCGCATGCCATTTAACAAGAAACGTTGTGCATTCCGCTCCTAGTTCGTCTCCAAGGGACTTGTGGGGTCCGGGGCAATTTTATTTTTTGTCCCACAAAAAAAAAAAGACGGGAGCAGTTGTCTCGGTCTCGTCATCTCCGAGAAATAATACTCGGTCGAAAGACTTCTCATCTTCTTTAATTCGAAAAACAATACAACTTTTTCATTCATAGGCGCATGGTTGGGCTTATCAAAGAATGAGCAATCCAAAGTCGATCCAAAGCACAATTTCATCACCAGCAAACGCAAGAATAAACAAGACATTATCGAAACAAGTTGTCGAACACTTCTCATCTTCTTTAATTCGAAAAACAATACAACGCTCTCGGAAATGTACCCCACAAGAACGAAATAATCGATCTACGCAAAGGAGAAAAAAACAACAACAACATAACGCTATAATCGCAATCCTCTAGAAGAACAAACTATCGATCCCGGAAAAGATCTACTCGATGGTCGGGAAAATCAGACCATATCCGAACAAGACGAGGATGCAAAACTCGAGCAAAGATTGGAGAAATGCATCCATAACCATGACGTAGTACACCGCTCGTCGCCACGAAAAAAGTCCATCTGAAGACCTGAAGCGAACGATCGACCTACAGTCTTGTCCCACCATCACAGTCCTCGCACTCACGAAAAGAACTCCTAAAGAAGATTCCATTCACCAGCCAGAATAGATACCAGCCAGAATAGATAGCTTCAATTCACGATTCATCTTCATCCTCTCGACCTCACCATTTCACAACATCCTTATGACAACCTACTTGCCGAGCGCCGGGCGCCGATTCACTCAACTCGCTAACGACACCCTCACATGTCCACCACTCAACAGATTCTCCTCCTTGTGACCATCCCGACACAACAAAGACTTCCTGACGAAACTGCTATCATCCCTAACACCGCAATAAGCGCAAAACACTGTACATGCGTGCTTTCCTGGCAAATTTTCTCCACAATTCAACGGTCGAACTGCATTCATTATACACCTCAAGGAATCGCCGCTGCAGCTATAATGAGCTCTCAGCAGCAAATCCTAAAGCAATGCATCCATAACAGGAGTAAACTGTTACTGCCCCACTGATCTCCACGATAAGATCGACGGAAGACATGTAGAGATTGATCGACCTACAGCCACTTGTAACCTGCAGCAGAATCCCCACTTTCATGAAAAGAAATCCCGAATAAGCGAACATTCAAACGACAGCGTAGACAATTTCAACTCACGACTCATCACCTGCACTCGGCCTTTTCCAACATCCTTGTCACGACCTACTTGCCGAACTCCAATTGCCACTAACCGCTTCTCAACACCGTTGCATTTCAACTCTGCAGATTCTCCTCTTGCAGCCATCCCCACAACGAAGAAAATCGCACCAAACCTGTACATGATTGCCTTCCTGGCAAACTTCCACCATCGAACGGTCGAACTGCGCGAAAGAAATGCCGCTGCAGCTATGATAAGTTGTCATAATCTCCAGAAACAAATAATAGCTGCAACTGTCATAATCTTCAGAAACAAATAATTAAAACCCTCTTGTACGACGTTAGAGGACTTATCCACAGATGCGAGAACACTGCTGGCGCAACCACTCCTGCGATCTCTTCGATAGGTCACCAAGTTCTTGCATCGACCCATTCTTGCAGATCATCCATCCTATGTTGTCGTTGCGCTTCCTCACCTGCCACAAACCGAGAGTCATAAACAGAGCGACCAAGTCAGGGGGCGTGAAACAGCCACGACTTAATCAATACCCTTCCAGGTTTACGGATCGATCCAACGAACTGATAGTGACACATTATAACAACTCCTAGTATGTCCACTTCGTCGATTTGACGCATAGCACGAAAAGCTGAGTTTGAAACAATATATAATACACTTCCGCATAGAGGGAAGGGCTCATTGTGACCAATAACTTTAACCAAGACAGGAGAACACCGCCAACTTCCCACTTCAAGCAATGGGAGGGAATAGGCGTTGGCAGAGGGCCACAGTAGAAATGCCCTCATCTATGCAACAGTTACACTGCGCCAGGAAGAACTGAAGTTTTGACAAGATTTCAGATATAATTTTTTCTTCCTTTTCATTATAAAGTTTCCAAGCCTTGATCGAACAGTGAAAAAAAGGGGGAGAGAGAAATCTAAGAAGAAATGTGAAAATTTTATTGTCTACAAAAAAAAAAAAAAGGAAAAGCCACTGAAATCAGCGTTAGTGACGTGACTTAGGAAATGACTGTGTCAACAAATTAAAATTTACAAAAGACAATTGCGACTCATGAACCTTAGACATCATCAGCATTTTTAGCCCAGTGATTTGTCACGATAGCAACAGTGATATCTCGGCAGAACCACCTACACATACTTGAGTCTGATACGCAATACCGAATTGAAGAGCAATTGGAATCGTAAATGTGTCACTTACCAGACATACAAGTTTCGTGGGCAAGGGCTTGGACTCAGGAGGAATCGAATAGCCTCCGACTGCAGGGCACTTCCAGGCCCTCGTATCAACGCAGTTCATATAACGACACCATTTGCAATGTTTCTTGTGATCGGCGCCAGAGAAGAGGGCGACAATGGCGATAGTGAACCTGCGGGAGGACGAACAACACATCATATTCACTGGTTTAGTCATTAAATCCACTGCACCACAAAACGCCCTAGGCTCAAATGTAAAATGGTCATTAAATCCACTGCACCTCAGAAAGTCCCAGGCGCAAATGTACAATTGTCTAGTCATATCAACCACAAATGGGATGGCAAAACTAACTTCTTCTCAGATTGAGCGGCAAGCAATCAACGCATCACAGCACATGGTGAAATGTTTTTTCCGATGACCGGAGCTTATTAGCTTTCGTGGAACGAACTAAATGCATTCCGAAAGATTAAATCCGCTCGTCGAAACAAAAAAAAAAGTGCAAAGAAAACAGGAACATAACAGCAACTCTCATTCGCTGGACATCAAGAGTACCCGATAGAGGTTTGAACGTGATCTTACGCACCCAAGAATGAGGATGACATAGCACAGCACACGAAGAACCTCCGCAACAGGCGTGAGACGATGCTTTGGTCTCAGATCGATTCCACCCTTAACGAGAGGATCTTCATCAGCTTGTTGGCACSCTTCGCTGTAGGATGGCAATGGCTTGATTAATATCAAGTAACCAAGAACAAGACCGGTGATGAAGGCACCGATATGTCCCCAGTTATCGACAAAAGGCATAAGGCCGAAAATGAGTTCGATCGCGGCGACAAGGCCCAACGTGACTCCCGCWGTGGCCTACACACACATGACGTACCGACAGAGTTAGCAGTCAGGCAAAGTATCCATCACCCACACACTGGAAAAGAGATGAAGGCGTGGCATGAAATTAACACATTATCAAAGAGGAAGCAGTCTCGACGAGTTTGCCAGACATTCGAACATGAACACCGGCTCTTGCCCAGCCCGACAAGCCTCTTGCGATTTTACCAGGTCATGATCTGTCAAACTTACCTTGTTAATGTATTCTGAACCGTTGATGGCAAGATCTGCACAAGTCATTCCAATCAATCCAAACAAGGGGAACGACCCTCCCACGGAAATGTTTGCCGGAACGAGCAGCAGGGCCGACCATAAAGCGCCTCCAATACCAGAGGCGATGTACACAGCAGCGACTGTCACTGCACGACACAAGAGAACACAATTGTAGCGAACACAAACGTACCCGTCAAAATACGTCAAAACGCGCGAATGGACAAAATCAACGCGTCGAAACTTTCAAATGCAAGATACGACAAGAGGACGTTCAAATTATTGGTAAACATTATCCTACGGGGCCGTTCCTAAAATCTGGAATCGCGTAAGCTAAGCAGGATGCTGCTTGTTTTCTCAAAAAAAAAAAAAAAAAAAAAAAGCTGGATGATGCTCCCAGATATCACCGGGCGTAATGAATAGGTTTCCCCGGCCTCAGCTCTTGCTTTATGAAATGGAATTCGGGCTCGGAAAAAGAAAAACAGATCTGGAATCGACGATTGCGCGGGTCTAACTTAATTGTTACAACCATAAACTGTTGAAATACAGACCGCAGTTCGAATCCAGATTCAATCAAATGACCAGAGTAAAGGAGCAAAAACAAATGTCGAAACTGACAAAGGAAACCACGCCTTCTTACTCTTTAGCGGAGGGGTCAATTCGTGTCAGAAAGAAATTCAAACAAATATAATCAACGTGACGTTGAATTATTCACGACCCTGACCGTCTTTCTCCTATGACCCTCGAGAATGTCATTTTCATCTCTCTCTCCAGTTATTAAGCCGACGGAAGCCATCAATACAATGCGATCGACAAGGACTAAGCAAACATGTATAGAATCGATAAAAAAAATACTCCAGACAAGAGATGGGCATACGTACATGTGCCGCAATTCCATTCCAGCCGGGTGCCGACGAAGATGAGGCCTAATAATGTTACAATCAAATGAAAGAGTCCCGCATGCAGCCAGAGGCACGTAAACAGTCTCCATTCCTGGTGCTTCCTGGATGTACGGCGAGGGTCCAATGCTCCCATTCTAACGAGACTGCAGATATACCAAGCATCACACAATCAACGCAAGTGATTCAATATCAAGAAAAAAGAAAGAGCACTCGACAATAAAAAGATCAGTTATTGCACGCACGACATCTTTGATTGCGTTAGGGCTTTCGGCGTCGGGCAGACAGTAAATGAACCGATTATGCAAACAGTAAAAGCAAACCTTACTCCGATCTACGGTACACTATTCTGTCCGAAATTGAAGCCACCAGGCCAAGTGCGCATACGAGACACAGGACCATCAATCAGGCACCAGAGCGAAAGCAACGCCACCCGTGACCGGATTCTGCTGCTTCGATCGGTAGGAATAAGGAAAAGATGGCGGTCATCTCCCTGCGGTATACTCTAGTAGGAAACGTTGGTTTGGAACAAGTCGACAAATCTGGGCAAGAAACCATACAGCGTAAAAGACTGCATTACTCAACTTAATGCAACAGAGATACATGAGCTCAGTACGTGACATTGGAGCTGACGAAGCGGAAGAAAGACAAGTGACCATAGAGTATGGAAGACAGGAAGCCCTTTCGTGCATATAGCCATCCTGCGTTTGAACGAAGCAGGAACCTGCATTCGGACTGCAGCAGTGCAGGTACTCTGTTCACAATCAATCGCTCAGTGAAAATGCTTGCATCCATTTGTCTGCAGAGGAACGCGCGAGGGGCAAGCAGGAGAGAAGAGAATTGGAAGCTTATTGCTACCCCTCCACAACACTTCAGTTACCCTGAAAGATAGCATTACCATTGACACGTAGGAAGGACAAAAGATAGCAAAATAGCGGGATGAGACGGTGGATGAAGCGCATGGGAATAGAGGGGAAGGTGCGCTGAATGGAACCAACCGTCAGTTATACGATACGTGTGTACACTTCGTGAAGCGCAAAGACTACAGATGGGGTGGGAGTAAGGGGCGAAGGTGTTGCTCCTGACATGAAGAAGATACTCACGCTCGAGAGCCTGGTCCAAGAAGCGGGTTTTCCTTCAAATTCTGGAACGAAAACGTCCCCAGCCATCGCATCGCACACGGTCTCGTTGGGTGCTGCTTCGGACAGTTGTTGATGCCCACGCTTATGACAAATAGCAACAGAGTGATGGAGAAGATAAACCACCACGAAAACCGCCACACTCTTCTGATTCCATCATGCGTTGGGGTAGGAGCTTCCCCCATGCTTGAGAGCGAGAACGCCTCTCTATTATCACTTCGAACGGTCCAAAGATTACCAGAAGCGTTGAAACCGAACCGCTCCCGAACTCTCCGGGCACACCACCCTGCGAACTCTCTATCCTCCTCTGCGTGGCAAGTAAGACACAAAGCCGAAGCCACGCACACCCCCTTCCGAGCAACCGCTTGCCAGTCAATGGAGAACTCGCGCGAGGAAAAGCGAAGCTCGCCAAGGAACCGATGACAAGGCGATTAAAACATGTACCTGGGCTCAGCCAAGGTCAAGATGTGAGTCGACGAACATCTGGAGCCAGAACGAAGTTGAAAGCGATGGCACGCCGGCCAACCGCTAGAAGACCTCACTCAAAACCCACACCTCAGCTTCTGCATTGCAACCTCTCTCCTCCACCACTAAAAACCTACACTTCAGCTTCTACGCACTGCAACCTCGCTCCTGTGAACACTCTCCCTCCTGAGCGCCCAGAAAGAGACCAACACGAAAACACGAGCCTCCCGGTAGAGCAACCGCTTGCCAAGAAACCGATGCCAAGTAGATTGAGACATGTATCGCAGGTAAGCTAAGGACAGAACGAAGGTGAGAGCGATGGACACGCCGAGCAAGCGCGTGAGTTTACTACCACGCAAAACACTTCAGCGACTGTGTACTCCTACCTCACTTCTCTTCTTTTCTTCCGTCTTCATCGATACTTGAACCACCTCTGAGAAATATTTGTGCAGCTAAGGAGGCGTTTCAAATCAAGAGCAGGCTGTGCAGCTTCGCGCCTTGATGCAAACGAGGCCCACCCCGCGCCTACCAGAGAGTGCCGTTCGTTCGTCGTCAGGCCGTTTTTCGGAAAGCCAGCCGCCTGGCCACCCGTACCCGTAGCCTCCCGTTGGCCTTTTCCCAGGGGCTTGCTGTGCGTGCATCCCCAACGGTACTCCCCGCGCTTTACGATTGCAGACTGCGAGAAACCACAACCTTCTTTTGTTTTTTCTTTTTTTTTTATGTTTTTTTTTTCTTTTGAAACCCAGCTCTTTCCGCCCCTACCCGTTTTGTAAGGTCCGCCGACCTAAACGGAGCAACATGACAAATTAAAAATGGACAAGGTGAGAAATGCCCTACAGTCCCGCAACCTCATCAGGCCATGTTGGGCCTCGCTCTGCTACACAACAGTCTACACGCATTTCGCTGTTATTCGAACTACCGGTAGTCCAACGCTTCGAGCGCATCGGGACCGGAAAGGGTCCAAATGCATGAGAGGCGCATTGCCCCCCAATTCGCGAGTTTTTCGGCGATGGCCATCATTGAACTTACCGGATTCGAACGTAGGTCTAATTTAGAGCAGCTCATCGGTGTAGCAAATGAGCTACCCGTTGATTCAAGTCGCCATATTTCTCTTCTCTCAAAAGAAAGGGGGACGGCCTTGAGATATCGTCATAGAACTGACCGGCCCTAGGTAATTCAGGAAACTAATATTTTGGAACCGAGTTGCTGAAGGGTCTGATGCGCTTCCGCCGGCGCTATGATGCTCGGCACACACACACAATCCGGTAATGAACCGGAACCGGCCGCAGCCACTACCACCACCATAGCGCTTCGGCGGAGGTAGGAGAACTGCTAAGCGCCACTTCACCAGTGTGACATAGCTGCAGCTATGGCTTCTCCCACTGCGGGTTTCGGACTTAGCCTCATATGAACACAAGGTGATTTGGTAGTCCTACGGCGGAAGACTTGAAGTGAAGCAACATGGAACACGACGTCATCCAGCGTGAAAACTTTGGGCGGAGTGACACGCTATGGCTACATATCCGGCAAGCTTGGTAAGAGCAGGCAGGTGATTTCCACAGTATCTATAACTTTCGAAGTCTAACGAGTCGAGCCTGGACTTGCAAGGGCGCATGTGAGTAGGGTTGCCCATCACTAGTGACGGCCAATGGTGGAAGCAATTCGGCTTGCCCAAAGAAGCAGCCAAGCGCCTTCCTATATCCCATTGCTTGAACAATCAGATAGGAAGCCATCATCAAGATGACGGACGTTGTGATGGATCGCGAAGCTCAGTCGCCCCCGGCCCCTCTGGCGCCTTTTCCCCAGGCTGTCATGGCAGATGCAGGAGAGGAAAACAACAGGATTCGGGGACTAGTCCGCCTATGCTATGACGAAGGGTCCTACATTCGAACATAGATCCGAGCAAGATGAGTGGGGAAGTACGAGAGGTGTGTTTCAAGGTGCATATGGCTATAGATCAGACTAAGATTAATGGGCCAAAATAGCATACCGTCAGGTCCGTCACCATTATATTTCGGTAAGGCGCAAAGTTTTTATCGAGGAAGGTGGAATATGATGTAGTTAGGGCGTACGAAAACGAAAGAGTGAGAGATGGCTCGTTCGATTCGTTAAAATTTCGTAGAGGAAGAGGTGAAGCAGAAAACCCAATCGTCGTTTCGTATGTAGCTAATAGAGGGGCGATAGCTGCATGGGTGATAGGAAAAGATAGAGATGAGATTACTCAGGGACCAACACGACATGTATTTGAGTTTAAACCATGGTTGACAAAAGCTCAACTCAGGGCGCATAGGCAGGAAGAGGACGACACCACCTTTTGGATGATTGCAGTCGAGGTGCCACTGGATGAGTTCCTCTATTTGAAGGCTCGTGTGAGGAGAGCTATTGGACCTATTATTATGACACACCTGACAGCACGAGATAAGCTAAAGCCATCACTCGTGAATATCAAGTTTGATATCGATCTTGCATACATAGAGTACATGTGTGACAAGATCTGGGTAGACACATCGAAGACTGGTGCCTTGGAGATGAAACTTGAATCCTTAGAAACACTGAGATGTAGGCGATGCAGGGGTTTCTTTCACGTTGGGGTAGAGTGTCGTCGAAACCGACAACACAAGCAAGCATCAAACCAAGATGGTCATGGCTATCAAGGTCGATCGGATTCAAACAACAGTCGTCCTCCATACCAACAGATTTTTCGACCAACAACAAACATCACAAGCAAAAATCCATGAGGGAAGGGAACATCCCAAGCCCAAGGCGTGCAACAGTTTGGTGACAAAATTTATAATCCATGACCTTTGTCTGGGATGCCTCATTAACTCTCAGGCCTGGTAGACGTCTTACATAGCGGCCCTCATAGTCCTTTAGGAGGGGTTGTTCAACTTGGGTCGTAGTCGTTCCAGAATCTGGTATTCCTACTTGGACTTCAAACCTATTCAAGTTTAATATTATTGTCACACTTAGACACGACGATGAATCCAGTCGACATGCATTGGAACTACATATTTTGCTACAACTACTTTATAGTTCAACCTTCATGTCGTACGTGGACTTACCTCCACAAGTAGCAAGATGTATGGGTGACATTAGCGGATCATGAAGAGGAAGTAGAATAAAGGAACCATCTGCAAGCGCTACAGTCAACCACAACAACACGGCTACACGAAACAAGGACCATCGTCATCGCACACGCTGTCGAGCGAATCGGTCCGGCACCGCATCAGGGCAGCGCGGGACCCTCCCGGCCTCGTCACGCAGGAGTTGGTTTATATCCTTCGTCGCGAATATACATGGAGCTTCCGCAAGCCGCTCCGACCGAATGCGCTAGCCATACCTCTCGCGAGCCCCTACGACAGGATATGGCCTACGCGAGGCACGACTTACCTCCACGTTCAAGAGTTGTCACCTCCCTTCGGTGGGCATATCCCCGCCGAGCTACCAGTCCACAGTACGAAAGCTAATCAGTTGCAATCGCAGAGGTGGACCAGCCGAGGGCGTTTCTCGTTCGTTGTAGCATAGGGGGTACACACGGTAATATGCCTCTATCCGACCCGCACGCGAACCGTCATCTTGGGGGGCTGAAGTCCCAAGCGCGGTTCGTCGCCGGTCGACTATGACGCATCCCACACACCACGCGCACACCACTTTACGAACAGAAAAATAAAACACACACACACACACTCACACACGCGAAACGACACAACACAAACAACGCGACAACTCTCCTAGCCCCTCGATAGCCAACCCATAACTTTCCAGTACAGAAATCAAATAGGCGTCGCGCGCAAGACTTAGTATAAAACCGCGCGGACGCAGGGCCTACTCATATCGACTTGTAATGCAGGCGTACGCAAGCAGTCGCAATGATGGCGTACTATGTAGTGCCCATAATCAAGCAGTCCCTCATGGATCCGAGTACCGCTTATGACACTCAAGTGTCAGACTCGAAGTATCGTGAGGGTCTAATCCTTCACGACATTGCACAACTGAAGGAATAGCCGTGCAGCCGCCGCGAGACCTCCGGCCTTGGTCTGAGCGTCTCGGTAGGCAAGGCAAATAGGCTCTGCGCGAGGGAAAATCTCTCCCCTGCAGAGTCTAGGGCTTGGGATGTCCTGGACAAGGACCTCGAATCCCGGCCCAGGACAACGTCCGACTAAGAAAATTCTCAAGAAGCAAAGCAAAGATAAACGGAGAGGTCATCCCTGGGCCTCTCAGTCTTACCTTCTGAGTATCCCCTTTTGTACGGRGCCCCTTAACCCATGCAGACATTTACCCTACGTACACCCATGTATATATGTATATARAGGGGRAAGTACGTGACGATCACTTCTCACAGTCTCATWRGGRTCCCTCACAGCCATATTTATATATGTGATCGCAGGCAACCAAAACCAGAATCTGATTCATAGCACATACCTACAAATCATATCAATGAGTCAATCGACAACCCATGCATTACACGGAGTCAACCCCAACCATCTTCAACACTCATACCCCTCGCTTTAGCCATGCAAGCCTCAACCTCATGCTCAACCAACCTTAATTAAATACTCAGTACCTTTGTCGAATGACCATTCAATAAAAGTCCGGGTGAAACCATAATGAAGCAATGAAATCACCAGGGCTAAAGCCTTTTAGGTTGAGTGTGGAGGGTGAGTTGGAATTGAGTTGTAGACCGACGAATCGACAACCGACTTGTTATCAGTGATAACAGATAACGATCCTCAAGGGATCAAGCTGAATCTA